CTGCTCCTCCCGGGTACCTACGTTTTGGGCCGGGCGGGCGATATGGGGGGGGTGCGGCGGCGGCGGCGGGGATAGGAGTCGGCTCAGATGGTAGGGAGGGAGGGGCACTGGGAGGGAGGGTTGGGCTCGTTCTCTTGTCTCTTGTCTCGGTGTAGACGACTCGTCGTGAAGAATATTCGCAACAATCAACATGGAATGCCTCTTCCAGAGGAACGCTCCTGTTCAGCAGGATTGTCTGCTCACCTCACATGGCGATTTTGATCACGGTGTGCTCGTCTCTCTGTGCCTCCGGCTGGAACACGGACACCTATCCTGCAGTACAGACTGCCCAATAGGCCAAACACAACACTTCTTGGGGACTACAGCAGAAAGCCTCCTTTTTTCGAGAACCTGAAATGGAACTCCTTCCGCACAGGAACTCGGGCGGAGCGTCTGTGGAAACAACGTGATTGGAAGTATGCATACTACTTTGGAAAATAGGCAGCATGCGTACGCTGCTTCTCCTGTGTAGAGGGACTGCCTCCCGCAAAGGTACCGTAAAAGTCTGGCACCGGTCGGGAAGATGGCACCGGGGTGCGCAAAAAAAACAAGAACGACGTGATTTAACTGTCGGTGAGATCGCACATCGTATGATCTCACCGACCCTCAAAATCTAAGGTTGAGCTCTTTTTGAAGCTGCTGTAACAGAGATACATGTGCGTACCTTTTGACATGTGGTGACGGTGTCAGCGGAGCGCCACTCCTTAATGTGCGCATGTACGGTCGGCGCGGTTCACGCGGAATCGTCTGTTGTTTTCATTTAATCGGTATGGAAGTTGCAAACCGTACACCACCCAAGCACGCAACATACAAGCCATAACCTACCCCAACCTTAGGCAAGGAAATCTAGTGTACTGATGCTTGCGCACTGGTATTCGTAGAGAGGAAGACCGAAACGAACGTGGGAGACAAACCTCATACCACCGTATGTACGGGTACCCCAGATGGAAACCTCACCGGTGTTTGTTGTCTTTTGTCACGCCATGACCAAACTCGCATTCATCCCATGGACCATATGGAAAGCTGCTACGTGCCAGCCTACGTTGTAGGGTTCACCCACATCGTCTGCTTGTGGATACCTACACTGGTCGACGAGATGGTACCGGGGTGGGTGCATTCAGCACCGCCGTGCGCTATTTAGAAGTAAGACCGCCGTGTGTACTTGATTGGGCATCGCACGGGTCGGAGAGATAGATAGCACCGGGGTGCCGGTGGAAGGAAACGATTTATTAGAATTTCCACGCCGGGGTCGGAGAGATCGCACCGGTCGGAGAGATCGTATTGGGGTGCGATGAAAACCACGAAGAAAAAACAATGAAGAAACCCATCGCCCCCAGTGCCATCTCTCCGACTCTTTGCGGCGTGTACCAAAACTGCTGCACTATTGTGGTAAATACGAGATTTGGTTGAATCCATCAAAAATCGTCGTCCAATACGCTACACAGCACATCAAAGACGCCCCCTCAACCCTTCACCGTCCCCTCACTCCGCTACTCCGGTGGTGCTGTGTCTCATGCGCGAGCTCGAAGATTGGCTGTTTGCTGCGAAATCTGCGATAAAGACTGCACGATTCGGCTCTCATGTTCTCAAAGGTCATGCTGTGGGATAACCCGTAGCACAGAAGTTGTACTGCTGTAAACCTTAACCTACGAGACGGCAGTCACCCGCAGCAACTCCGCTCACTTGGATGTTGCAATTGTGGCTACTCTCCTCCAGTTTTAGGTCGGTGTGGCCTGGGTATGAGTGCAACGTCTTGATCACGTTGATCAGTTGAGCTGCTAAGCTGTCTGCTGGTCCACACGGTGCACTCGAACTCGAGACAGCAGCTCTTTAGATTTGGCGGAATCTCGCCCGTACCGGCGGGCAAGGGGTGTGTGTCGATCTACAAAACGCACCTGCCCTGAACAACAAGGTGTTTTCTCCTAAATCCCTCCTTCTACGTTGTGGTGTACACTTCGAGCAGAGAGAGAGAGAGAGAGAGAGAGAGAGAGAGAGAGAGCGTTGGTTGAACGGGCTTACTGCTGTACACACACGTAGAACGGCTCCTGCGGCAACTGCTGCCGTATACTAAAACTGCCTTTTGCGGTTGTGAATTCAAATAACGTGTTTCGTGATACGGGTACAATAGCAGCAGCAGTTGTGTGCACACACCAATTCTTAGAGCCGCATTGCAAGCTCTCACCCGCAAAACATGTACCCTCTCTACCACACAGGAAGAGAGTCCCCCCCCCCCCTCTCTCTCTCCCCAGCGGCGCTCACCATGCGTCGGCTGCATCGGTCGGCTGCCGTGGCTGTTTGGTTGACCCTCGAGGCGGCGGCGGCCCACCGCCGTTCCATCCCCACGATGGCTGCTCTCCAGCTGTCAAGGAACAAGTCGACACCAGGACTAGCAGCAGCGCGGTGGCGCCACCACGCCCGCAACGCACCCCAGCTGAGCGCATGGTTGCGTATTTGGTGTACTTGAGACTGGCTGTCCAACTCGTCTCCATCTCCAGGAGGGGCTCCGTGGGATGTGTTACTTCCAGTGCGGGGGTCATTTTGGGAGTGAGCGGCAGCGGCAGCAGCTGAGCGCGGCCCTCGGTGTCAGCTGCGTCTTGTAGCATCCAAGCATGGAAGCCAACAACGAACCAGGCCGGCTGACTGCTGTGTTGCAGTCGTCCATCACCAGCAAGCTAGCAGACAGTTCCTGCTGCTGCCACTGTCGAAGACAGAAGAGGCGGACAGCAGCAGTATACAGACGAGCCGCGACGTGGCTGCCTGCTATGGCCGTTGTTGCACTGCTGCTGTTGATCGTCCGCTCCTTGCCCGGGGCAGAGGCCGCCGGGTTCTGGGGGCTGGGGAGCGGGAGAGCGGGGCACGGCTTTCTAGTCGGGTCGGATGGCCCAGATGATGACGACATGGCTGAGGTTTTCGCGAAGTTCCAAGAGGAGCAGGTACACAAACTACGCAGGCCGTGTAGCCAGCGCGCCACCCGCGCCCGTCAAGCACTGACTGCTGTACATCCTGTGAGCAGCAGCAGCAGCAGCAGCTGCAGCTCGTCGTTGTCTCTCGATCATTGTGCTGCGGTGCTCTCTTCCTCAAGAGGGAATGATTTGACGCTGTGGTGTTACAAAGAGCGAGGACGCTCATACACTACATACATTTACGGCCCGCCGAACAGCGATGTGTGAAGCCGCCGTTGCGGTCCTTGTCGCTGAAGCTATGTATGCGTATGTAGCTGTAGAACCAACTCTCATTTTTCGACCGCCCAACGAGGGTACCGATTGGGTACGTTCGGGCTAAGGCCATCGAGAGTGCCTCCGGCGTGATTGACCTTTCGCTGCCAACATGTATCTTGTGCACGAAAACGTCGAGACTTCGAGACTCCCGTATGTAGCATAAACGGACATCTCGAAGAGTTGTGTTGAGGACACAGACACAGGCTACCGTCAGAGACAGGAGCCGGTGCCGCTGCAGTGTTCCCCTACTGCCAAGGGCGGCTATTTCCTTTTGTGAGATGTAACGAGGAGAGAGGGAGAAAGAGTGACCAGCAGAGGGTAGAGGAAGGAGAGTCGAAGACTCTCCGCCTCCACTCTCGGCAGGTGATTTTTCGCAACCGCTGCTAAAAGTGCCGTAGGAGGAGAATTCACCTGGGGAATCCGTTCCGCAGAGGTAGACGAGTGGAGGCGGAGAGTCTTCGACTCTCCTTCCTCTACCCTCTGTTGGTCACTCTTTCTATCTCTCTCCTCGTTACATCTCACGAAAGGGAATGGCCACCCTTGGCATTAGGGGAACACTGCAGCGGCACCGGTTCCTCTTTTCACCCGCGAGGAAAAAATGAAATTCCACAATGTCAAGAAATGATAACTGCGTACCGAATCCGTTGTGGTTTGGACATCGCGCCGCCTGATAAAGCTTTGTCTCCTACCCCAGCTGAACAAGGAGATCCAAAATCGCCCAGTACAACCAGGAAACGAAAACGAAAACAGGCAGCGAATCCTCCTGAAGAACCTTCACCTCGAAAATTGGTTGCGCAAAGTGACTCTGAACCACCTATTAATAGCAAAACCAACAAACGACCGAGAATTCCTCAAAGGAATCGACATTTACCCCAGTCGCCTTCTGCTGAGGACCAAGGTGATGTTACATTGCGTCTGCTCTGTAAGCAAGGTCGGATTCAGGGCCGTATCCCCGAAGACGCAAACGATACTTGTAGTTGCACGGGGTTTTCGGCCCCCTACCACTCTTATGACTTTCCACTTTGTCAACGACGTGGGACTCAATTTTCGGTTGAGCTTCGTCGGGATGGTCTAGCTCGGGCAACGTAATCTGGCGTCCTAAGAAAAACTCGGAAAGTTTATCAAGGTCCGGCGCAGGTGGCGTCTTCCTCGCATAATATTGTTTAATGTGGGCTAAATGGACCGAAGCCTGTCCGTCTCCACGCTCGGTAGGTGGTCAAAGACGATGGAAGAGACAGATAGATCTCAACGATGTGTTACTTGTGACTCTCTCCCGATGGCAAGTTACCCCGATGGATCGTATCCTCCTAACTCTGTATGTGCACAAATGGTTGGTTGGTTGTACTTCCGACAGGTGTCCTCCACACTGTAGGCACATGCACAGCAGTCAAAGAGGTACACTGCTGTGAACCAAGAAAAAGTCTACAGAACCACTCGTATCGGACGCCACACCCCGCGCGCGACCACCCCACTGTCTTCCGCCGATTTTCTGTGTTTCTTTCTCTACGCAACGCCCGACGTGTCCTCAGCTTTGGGAGGACGTCGAATATGCCGGCATGGAGGTGCTGGAAGAGGAGGTCGCTGAGAAGAAAACGAAGGAGATATTTGCGCAAGTCGCCAAGGGTTGCTCAGTCGGGGCACAGATGACCCTCATCATGGGCGGAGGAGCTCTCTTGTTCAGGTGCACGGCGCTGGCTTGCCACCAAGGATATTTCAAACTCGTATGGTGTAACGGTTTGCGTGTCCCCAATAGATACTGGCACGGTCTTTCAGAAGCAGAATTGAATCCTCGGTGAGATGTTCACACTCCACGGAAGCAGTAGAAGGGCAGGCTCTATTATCTGTTGCGTCACTTGTCGAATACGAAAGCACTGATGCGCACCGTACGTAGCCTCTACTAATACCGTCTATTGGTTCAGTGAGTTATTCATACCCTTTTTCTATCTTGTGCTATTGCCCTGCGTCTCTTTCGATTCTCCTCTTGGCCGTATGTAGCCCGAAGCAAAACGCCTAACAAGCGTCCTCTCCCCGTATCGAGAAGCTCTACAACAAGACCTCTCTCTCCCCACTGGGGCACGATGTACCCACTGGCGGCAGGCTGCTCCCGATCCTGCTAGGCCACGACCTAGACGACGACGAAGGCGACGACGCAAACTCCCCTTACCTGTTGCAGCTAGACGGCGACCGGCCGCAGCACGCCTCGCTGGACCTCCCGAGAGGCCGCCGGCAACCGCTCTTGACCAACGTTCCGAACGAGGATGCGGGGGTGCGATTGCACGGGGAGGAGACAGAGGGCGACGGGACTGCCGTTGTTGTAGGTTTGGCGGTGGCGGAGGGGGAGGGGGAAGGCGGCGGTGGGGCCTTGGTAGCGGAGGCGGGCGGAGGGGTTGTCGTGGCGACGAGAGACGGTGCGGAGGAGGAGGAGGAGGAGGAGGAGGAGGTCGGGGATGTCGACGTTGTCGTTGAGACTCGGTTGGTGAGTGAATGGACTCGGTGTCTTCCCACGCCGCGCCGCCATGCCCATCTTCGAGCAGGCGGTTTCTCTTGCGGCAGCAGCGAGCTCGTTGTTGCCGCAGAAGAATCCTACTGTAGCACCAGGCCGAGGGTAGCAGACGCACGTATGATGGGGTTGTCCTCCCCAAGTCGTTCCAACCTGTTGAAGCCTTGCATCGTGAAGAACTTGTCGGTGTCTTTCATTGTGGCGGTATTCATACGTGCCGGTCTTGGCACTAGCAATGCGCGACGACACGCGTACCTTCCGGTCGCGATGCTCCTCATGACCTCCTGTGCGCCAAAGCTCCAAAGCACGCTTTTCCGTGTTTCTTTACTGGATGATTTGTCGCTGCGTCGCTGATGGCATGTTGAAGGGCGCGCACCGTCGGAACGACACCAAAGGGTCTCCACAACGCCCCCCCCCCCCCCCCCCCCCCGAAGGCAGACGTTCACAGTATTTTTGAGGAGACCAACCCGGTTCTTCCATCAAGCCTGTGTTTGCCTGAGCCGGTTGGCCTTGCGTCTTTCCTTCTGTTTGGTGGCAACTGGCTTACCTGCCGGACGTGCCTTTATCGCCTTCCATTTGTTTCGTGGTAACTGGCTTACCGGTCTGCCTTCGTCCGCCCGTCCGTCCGTGGACACGTGCTTCTTTTGTGCCTGCCGATGACAGCGAGTTTCCCTCAGAAAGGCTAGGCGGTTGTCTCGGCCCTTCCTGAAGGCCATGGCGCCCCCGCTGGCCTTGCTGCTGGTGGCGCGCCTGGCGCTGGGGACCGTGTTGGCGCGGAGGATAGACCCGACGCTCGAGCTTCTCTTTGGCGACGACGTGATGGACTTGTGAGTGTATTTGTTTTCTCTCTCTCTCTCTCGCTCTCTCTCTCTCTCTTGCTTGGATGGTTGTTGTTGTTGTGCTTTTGTTGTCGCCATCCTTCACGTACAGCGCTTGGGCGAGTTGTACACTAGTACCAGCCCAAAGTGCATCAATCCAAGGAGGGGGGGGAGGTGTAACGAAGGCTTGACAAGGGAAGAACACACAGAGAGAGAGAGGGGGTCTATTTTGTGCGTTGCCCATGCCACTTGTTGTCTCGCGTTTTTCTTTTCCTCTGACGGCCGTTCCCCATTTTCTTGGGTGGTGGCCGCGCTGCCTGCCAACCAGGTACTCCACCAACAAGAAGGTGATCAACAAGGTCGACATGCCGTTCGCCAAGGACGCACAAGACGTGCCGGGACGGAAGAAAATGAAGGGGAAGGGGGTGCAGCGACGACCGCGACCAGACGGCGAGGAGGGTAGAGGAGGGGAGGGAGTCGAAACGGAAAGCGAGCCGGAGGCCGACTTGTAGTACACGTGGTCGGGCCTTTCTCACAAAGGACGGGTCACTGATTTTGCGTGCGCGTCGTTGCAACCTCTCGTTGATTTTCGCTGCTCGTGGTGTGCGATACCACGGCTTTTTTCTGCTGCTACCGGGGTACAGAAGTCGTCGTAAAGATGCGAACAGGAATTGCTTTTGCTGTGGCGGTAGACCTGATTTCTGTTTGTTCGTCGAAGATTTTGCGCAACCTTTGTGCTGTTACGAGTATCGATCGCTCCTGTAGGTGGCCGAGGCGATCTTCGACTCTGTACCTGCCCACACTTGGACACTCCCTCGGTGCGTTGTCCATTGTTGCTTGGCATGCACGGGATGGCGTGCCCTTCTATTGCCCAGGAGTTCATCATCAGGTATCGCAGCAGTCGTGCCCCCCTCTCGGAAGTACCTTCGAAGTAAAGATTTGCGTTTGTGAACACTGCCAAGGTGGCCACCACACCCCGTCATTGTAGGCCGTAGCCTACTTTCACCTCTTGCTGGTCGGGGTTTGAAGAATTCTCCCTCCGTATTATGGCCTTGTGCGTCCAGAATTGCACCGAAAGGTGCAAGGATCGACTTCCAGAACAGAATAAATGGGAGAGACAACAAGTAATAAAAGGGGGTGGCCCAGGACCTTTTGTTGGGTATGGTGAGGCGAGGGTGTCGGGAGAGACCTTTACCTTTTCTCGTTTGAGGTGCAGCTACTGCTTTGGATCTCATCGCCGGGGTCGGTCGTGAATATTGTGCCCTCCAGAGGAGGAGAGGGACCTCTCGAGCTTCATCTTTGCCGAGCGTCGTGTGATTTGCCGCAAAGCAGTTTTTTGCCTGTATTGTTCATTCCTTCAGCGAGGCTTGGTCTTCGAACAAACCCTGGCTCCCCGTTGCCCCTTTTCGCCTCCTCGTGTTGCGTAATGAAAAACGCCACATTTGCCATCCTGGTGGATATGTTTCGATGGTTTCGGCGGAATCGACCCGCTTGTGCGCTGTCACTTCGTTGCGATGAATTAACCCGATGCGCTGCGAATCTAGGAACGGGATGGCTTTGTGCGTGGGCAAATTATGCCGTTTTCCCCCCGTCTTCCTCCCCAGTGTAGACCTTATTCTCGCTTCGCTTGTACTGCAATATTCCTCCTTTATAACTAACTACTCTACTAATTAGGTTTGCCAATCGTTGTTGTTTGATCCAGCAAGACTTCCGGCAGATCGACGAGGAGGGGGGTAGGTGGGAGCGCCGAGTGAAAAGACCCAAACTGTTTTTCGACACATTTTATTACTGACAGCACCCTGTATCGTTGCTTAGCTAGATTAGATCTCTTCTACGAAACCATTAACTCGTACCATTTGCACGCGATTCTTGTTCTACACTTTATCTTGAACGTTCCTACAGTACAGCCCACAGGGTCTACAGCAGTAGGGGGACAACAACGAGAAAACCGCGACACCAAAGAGAAAATATCTCCAACATTATCTGTCTGGCTGCCATTCAGTGCGAAGCACTCGGTTAAGCACTTATGACCACCTCTCTCTCACAACAACCCTGACACGCTAGAGCCTCCCTAGAGCTTTAATTGTTCGGATAACATACATAACATACACACACGACGCACGAGTTACCGCAGAGCAATCCCGACAACAGCTATCTGATCACGACCTCACGTCTCATCGAAACACATCTTGCAGGATGCGTTCTTATGGGCAACGAAACCGTCCGGGATCCCACTCCTTCCACAATGCCACGCCCGCCAACACCACGCTTATATGACACACACCCTTGTTATAGGCTTACAGCACAAAGTAGACCGGGGCTATTTATAACACCTCCTCACACATTTCAGCGATATAGCCTAGTGTCCTCTCCGTCACCGAAACACTTCCATAATTTGTAGAACACTCACGCTGCTGATTTTTTACACACACACAACTAAATCTGCTCTGCACGAGACCAAAAGTAGTTCTGAACCATCGAAGTACTGAAGCTGAAAACGTAACACAGGAACAAGACAAAAAAGGCTGCCCTAGAAAATGATACTAGGTCGCGTTTGGTTCGCACTCTTCAGACACCCGGAGACACCCAAGAAAACATCCTATTCTACAAGGCCCTTAACCTCCCCCTCGCAAAAAATGATCATCACCTCCGGCCGCCACCCGTGACTCCGGCTCGCCAAGGGAGCAGGTCACCTCGTCTCACGGGCCAAAAGCAAAAAAATCGGCCACGTCATCAATACACGTGGTGACACTGGCAAGGGTATCGGCAGCAGCGGTTGCAATGACCCTGGAATTCGTTCACGAAGGGCACCTGAGGACGAATCATCTGGGGGTGGATTCTTTGAACGGGGACCATCTGAGGAGGAGGCAGCAACACGGGGGGCGGGGGGCATTCGACGGGGACGAGGATGACCGGTGGTCTTCCTTGCTGCTGCTGCTGCTGCTGCTGCAGCTGCTGCTGCTGTTGATGGTGCTGCGCGTGGTGCTGGGGGTGGTGGTGCTGGTAGAATTGTTGCTGGTACGGATGATGCTGTTGATGCTGTTGGTGACCGTGCTGTTGCCAACCCCCGGCCTGAAACACCTGGCCGTGGCCGTCGTCCTGCAAGGCCCCGTGGTGAGGAGCATGCGGCGCAACCCGGTGCTGCTGTCGTGGTTGAGGCTGCTGTGGCTTCGGCTGCGTCTGCGGCGGGAGCCTGGGCGGCGCCGGGACATAGGCCGGTCGAGGGTTTCTTCCTTGCTGCTCGAAGCCCATCGTGTACGGGGTCTGGATATATGTAGTGAGAAGCACACAGGACGGTCGAGGAAGATGTGGTACACAAGGGGGTCAGGGCGAAAGTAGGATTCACCAGGACTTCGGGTGGCATGTTGGCGAAGAAGTGCGCAAAAGGAGTCGAAAGTATAGGTGAAGGACAACCTGATGGTGAAGCCATTCCGGCCAGTTGTAAGCCGTCATTCTGTCAACAACATGAGCAAAAACTTGTCAGCACAAAAAGAAAACTACGTAGCACGAGGACGCGTACCGCAGCGGCATCGTAAGAAGCCCATGAATCACCCTAGCGGCTGCGATGCCCTCGACCGATTATTAATGACTTCAAACAAGCGCTTTTTCTTGTATCAAGCAATATTTATCGATCGTTACCTAAATACAGGACCGTAGTCAACATGCTTTACAAATGTCCACAACTGTAGAAACGGACCGGTATATAAAACTCACGGGTCTGGCATGCGCTCGCGGTACCGCCGCGGACCACCGTTCCTCGGCCACCGCGCCGCCAGGAAGTCCTCCGCCTGTGGCCATACCCTGTCCCAAATCACCCCTAGTTCTAGCAAACTGGTTGTGAGGAGGTTTAGCCTGATGACGAAGTGGTGCTGCCCCACACTTGTATGGCTTGGTGACACGACTCGGCTGGGCTCCATGAACGGCCCTCATTAACCCGAAGATGTGGAGGTCTTCTTCCGTCTCCACGACACCCTCGGCCGGTCTTGTCCAATTCAACTGCAAATTATTTTGAACGAGGACCAGCAAAACCAGGATGAGGTGCGAAAGTGCAGCTGTAGCAAGGAGGTGGTTGGAGATTTGACGACGGCTGGGGGCACCGAGTTATGGAAGACGGTAAGGCGTGTGTGGGTAGATTTGTGTACGTTCGTCGTCACGTCTGGTCGGTTCGAGAGTTTCCACCTATTCATGTTCAACGCTACAGCCGCCCGTCCGTGTGGTCATAGAGAAGGAAGGAAAATATAGGTAGATGTGGCGAGACCATATTTTGCCGATGGTGATACGCAAATGCAGGAGGTCCGTAGTTTTTTTCGTAATTGATTCCAACCACAGCAGGCACAGACACTATGTGTTCCGCACACTACAACGAAGGAACAAAGCAAGCAAAGCGCCGAACGCGCACAGCAGGTACGCGGTAGACAGCAGTCTCCTTGTACTATTTCACAGGCTGGACAAAATGCTGTTGATATTGCTGTAGGTTGTGTGTGTGCACGCGCGACAATCTGGACTAGGTGCAATCGGGCGGTTGAAAGTTTTCTTCAAGACTGGACGAGCAACGCACTCTCAATGGCACCCATGCGTCGAGCTTTCGATCAAACGCGTATTATTATGTATTCATGTGCGGCAGCACCTTGCGTCCGCCCAATCGATTGATTCCCAGCAATGGAGCTACAACACAAGAGCGCGATTGAATACATCGCATCACCTGGGCATACCCAAACGGCTTCCAGGCCAACCAGTCAGCGAGTCCCAAGCGTCCGGGGAGCTGGAGGTCGTGAATATCTGATCGCCATCGACATCGGCGGTTCATGTTGATCGTCAACAACTTCCTTTGAGGGCTGGGCTAAAGTGTGTGGAGAGGCGACGAACGAATGAACCACCTTGTCAATCGATCACCACGAAGATCAATGGGTTGTGGAAGGAGGGGGAGTGATGTTTAGACGGAATATTTTCCAAAAAACGGGCTCCGTAGGGAGGTGATCGTTATCCTCGCTCGCTCAAACCGACTTTCTCTCCCGAAACCGTTGGGGTTTCTGCGAAACGATACGTCAGATGGTACCGCATTAAAAAACCTTCGATTCGACGTAACCCCCATCTCGCCCCTCTCGGCCGGAACATGCATGTGTACCGGCCTGCAGCAGTCACTTGCAGCGCGGTGGCACATGTCAGTGGTCAACGTCCATCCTCTGTCCCCGTCTTGCTTCCTGTGCCGTTGTCACGTGACCTCGCACCTCTCCACGGACCATGGATTTGCTCGAGAAGCTCGTTGGTGAAGGCACGGGTGGTTTGATCCTGTGCGGGGCGTTGTTGGTGCTGGGAACCTGCGTCTTGCCGATGTGCGCCGGGATGCGCGTGCCGCGCCAAGACGGCGAGAAGTGTCGCCCAGACGAGCCTCACGAGAGTGAGTATTGCGGTTAGGGTAGCTTACCTGCACCTCTGTGCTGCTCTGGAAGCAGCTAGTCTGTACCTAGAGCTACAGCAGTAAAGTGGCAGCTTGCTGCTTTGTCCCGCAGTACAGAACACCGCAATGTTTTCGCCCGCGTGCCGTTAGCATGTTTATCGTCAAACAAACACAGCACAGCTGCCCTGTCTTGCGTTAACAAACAGATCGCCTAGTGTGTTAAATGGCCGTATGTCGTCGTCGGTCGTGCTGGCATACACGGATATAGGTGGCCCACACTGCCACACCGCTGATGGTCTCGTCTACCGTAGGTTGCGTAAGATACCACACCCCCTGGACCGATTTTCAGAGCTTCCTTGCTTTGCAGCAAAACAGCGATGGTGCCGGAAATGGCGGCGTTGGAACTGCCTCGTCGAGCGCTTTCCGCAAATGCGTTATTGACGGTGGCATCCCCTTCGTCGTGGAGTAGTCAAGCTTTGAAATTCGGTCCAGGGGATATTACATCTTATGCAACCTAAGGGACACGACCTCTCGTGCCACTGCTCTTGTGTGCTCGCTTGGAATACCACCTCCGAGGTAGATATGTCGTACCTGGTGTGTAGCTGGCTTCAATCACACAGCACGTGCCTCCCCGCTTGCGCTCCCTTTGTTTCGGTCCATTCCTCCCCCCAAAAAAACATGATTGCATGACAACAAGCAGTTCCAGCCAAGGCCAAGATTACCTCGCTCCGCGTCTACCCCGTGAAGTCTTGCGCCGGGCACGAGGTGCAGCAGGCCTCTCTGGGAGACCGTGGCCTCGAGATGGACAGGCAATGGATGATCGTCGACGGGCGCGGGCGTTTCATGTCCCAGAGGCGCTTTTCCAAGCTGGCGCTCATATCACCGTCTCTACCTAAGACCAAAGACGAGGTGGGTGCGGTGAGGATGACGGTGAAAGCGTCCGTACGATGTGTGAGCAATCAGTCAGTAATCGGTGTTGTTGTGGGTTGTTTTGTTCGGCAGCCTTCCTTGCGGCGAGGACGGTATGCATGCGGTTAACATGTGAGATGACACGCATCGGCCGTTTGTAGCAGCACTCTTACGACGGCGAATAGCCGGAGCTAGCTAGGAATGCCACGAGTGTGTTTCCTGCCGTATCGTTGGCAAGATGAAGAGAAGGCATATGGTTAACTACGCGTGCCGTACCGTCGGCAAGATGAAGAGAGGCAGATGGTTAACTACGCGTGACAGAGCGATCGATAATCGCGTTGAAGACATTCGCAAGTTCTCGCAAATCTCACAAGTCAGGCCAAAGTCTGTTTGTCGAATTCGTAGTACAGGTATGCGATGCTCGCAAACTCTACGCCAAGTAGGTGACAAACACAACACGCTTGACACATGCAACGGAGCCTATCGCACTGCTCATCGCACCAACCACCTCCAACGATACTACACCGCTCGCCTCGCGTCCCTCCAACGAATCATGGCCCTCCTTTGTTCTCACCAAAACGTCAACAACAAAAAAAATAGCCCCTAGTTCTGTCTGCGCCGGGGGTGGCCTCTCTGGAGGTGCCGGTGGTGCGCAAGGTCGGTGCCGGCGGCCCAGCGGCAGGCGGAGAGCTTGTCGAAGTCGGGGTTTGGAAGGACACGTGCCAAGCGATCGACCAGGGGGACGCCGCAGCTTCGTGGTTGCAAGCTTTCTTGGGAGTGGTGAGTCGAATGAGGGAAAACAGGGTGCTCCGGGTGTGTGTGTGTGTGTGTGTGTGTGGTAACGGCAAAGAAACGTTTTGGCTTCGACTAGCAGCCCTCTATTTATTGTTGAAAGCATCCGAAGGTTTGGGGCGAAATGAATCCTAGGAGATAGTGCTGTTGAGATAGTGCTGTTGCAGGGTTAAACCTTTTGGGGAGGGGCACAGCAGTACGGATCAAGGTTTGGGTCCGGGGGTGGGCATCTGCCGGACAAGTGCAATCGCGCGATTGCTGTACTGGCGTACTCATGGGGACAGATCTGAAAGCGACATGGTTGTTTCGACACACCCCGTCTGAAGTGCTGCGTCAACTGCAGAGGTAATTGCTCAAGCTTGGCGGTGGTGTTTCTCTAGCACTCTGCGTCGAAGGTGGTGTCGGACGCCTTTGCCTGCGAGCATTTTAGACACAAGCCTCCCCCTTTCTCCCCGCCCTGGTTCATCAGTCTCTCCCCAAGCTCCTGAGCCACACGCGGCTGCGCGAAAAAGGAAGGCACACAGATAGACAGATAGATCACACGTTCACCGACCACGGTGTGGTGGCCGTACCAGACCAACACGTACATAATACGTGGTCGTCGCTGCGCGTGAATGCATGTGTCATCCATCTATCCTCTTTTTGTCGCGGTCTGCTTCCCTCAGTTCCAGATCACACAAGCTTCCTCTCCTCCATATTTTTTGCCTCTTTTAAACTATGGACACCGCTCGTTCCACGTGCCGAATACATGCTCATGCGGTCTGAGTGTGTATAGGACAACTTGAGGCTGGTTCGGATGAAGGACGGCTTCGTGCGGCCGACCGATCCCGGCTACGGGACCGGCTTCCGCACCGGCTTCGCCGACGGCTTCCCCATGCTCCTGGTGGCGGAAGAATCCCTGGAAGAGCTCAACTCGAGAATAGCTGCGACGGGGGACGGCGAGCAGGCCGCCGTCGGTATGGACCGATTTCGACCGAAGTAAGTGCCCACGAGAAACGTGTGTCCAGAATTTGAGAAGGTAGATCCATAAGGGAAGATACAGTGGGGCCCTTTTTCTGTGGCATGGTGTTCGGTCGAGCACCAAGTGGGGGCCGCACGTTTACGGTTGGCGTGAGCCTATGCATTGTTCGCCCCCAAAGGTTGTTTCTGCTCTGGCTGCTGCCGCTGCGACGAAGAGTATGTCGTTTTCGTTTTTTTTACGCGTCTTTCGTGAGAGTGTACGTGCTTTGTAGCGTGGTCTCATGGCCGGTGTTTTCCGCGGTTCGCCTGCTCTGGTGTTGGTGTATTGATTTGAAGCCATATAATAGTGCGCCAGTAGACTTTTGTCGTCCATCGTGCATCCCTCCCGTACATCGTGTTTCGCGATATACTGTAGTTGGCACGGTTCTGTCGCGACGAACGCGGTTCTAGGGACATCATACACTAATGTGTCGCTACTATAATGGGAACATCATCACACTGCTGTGGTTCCGCGTCTAGGAACACCGGTTCACTACTACGGTTACGGGTTCGAACATTTTTTTTTCGTCGTCGACTCTCTCTTTTCGGGGGCCACCAATGTCTCGTTTCTCCCTCCTGATGTCCTCTGCGTTGCATTGCCATCCTTCTCTCCTCTGTTTCTTATTTTGTCCGCGTGCGCGCACGCCCGCCCTTCGCTGTCGGTGTGTCCTGTGTCGGGGGCACTTGCTTGCCGCACTACACAGCATCGTGGTGCGAGGGTGGGGCCCCTTCGCCGAGGACGACTGGACCAAGATCAGGGTCGGCAGGATCGGCATGCGCACCCCGAAGCCGTGCAGCCGGTGCCAGATACCCGGCATCAACCAGAGCACCCTCGAGGTTCGAAAAGAGCCCAGGCAGACTCTGGACACTTTCCGGTGCGAGTTTTGTTTTGTACAAATCGTTGTTGTACCTCTATCTCGTTTCTAGACCGCCTGGTGTTCCAGCGTGTGCATTCTTCGGCCATGGTTTTGGAAACCTTCGGGGGCTACGGAGACCCCTTTCTCTTCCGTCTGTGGGCAGCATTTTTCGCCTCTGCGTTGGCCGAACAGCTCTCCGGTCGCGCTGGTGCTGCCGTCTTGCCACGACAGCAGTCAGTAGTAAGGACTTATCCACCACGTTCGGTCGGGGATTTGTATCATGAAAGTGTGCTGCAATAGCCCCCCACACGACTGCACAGCCCTTGTTGCGTCGTTTACCGCTCATCCCCGCGGGTCCCACATGGCTGTTCCTCCCGACAAAATGATATTCCTTCCACAGCCTTTTTCAGGGTCTGCAGGCAATACGATCCTGCCCTTTCTGTCTCCGCCCTGCCTCGTTTCCCCGCCTTTTTTTCCCCTGCGATCCGTGTTTACCCAAAAACTGTTGCGTTCGCTTTCTTTTTTCCCCTGCATGGCAATAAAAAAAGAACCGGGTCTCACGTTGCCCGGTGGAACGAGAAGTGGTCGAAGGACGTTTTCTTCGGCATGAACGTGCTGCACGAGTCCACGGGCGTGCTGCGCGTGGGCAACGACGTCGACGTCTTGAGAGCGGCGTCCAAGGCGAGCGCCAAGAAAACGCAATAAAGTGTGTGTGTGTGTGGGGGGGGGGGGGACCAACCACTACCAGCAGCGGTGCCCCCGAGCATCTCGAATGAGGGCAGGCGTGCTGGGATGCTGCATGTACCAAGGAGGCGGCACGCAGTTTTCTGATTGGTCAATACGGTGTACAACTCTACAAGAATTGCTTGATGTTGGGAGGGCGGATGCGGTTTGGTAAGGAGGCGCGCGATAGGTTGGTCCGCCGCTGCGGTGCCTTTTAACCACGCCGTCGTAGCACAGGCCGTAAGCCCGGCGCCTCCCACATACCGCACATGGGAGGCGTTATGAACAAGCGGTGTTGATTTTCTTGAGGAGGGAAGAGTACGGACGGTTTTCAAACATGGTTTTCGTCTGACCGACTACGAACTCAAGACCGGGCGTCATCTTCCAAGCAAGCTGGCAGGAATTGCTCGTTGGTGCTCACGCGACTCTGTTTCATTGACAACGGCAGTGTACCGAAACTCTCCAAAAGATCAGGCAACATTTTCCCCAGCTGCCACCCGGGTTCATGAATTTGGATTGTGAAGGACTCCGGGTAGCAAGGTTATTGCCGGGGATAAGATAGGTGGGTTTCGAGACCCCAAAATGTCGGCTGTATGTTAGTGTCCCCTTTCCACCGAGGACCGAACCACCGATTGGCTAGGGGGGGGGCGCGAAGAACGGACGGAATGAGACGGTGTGGCCCCTGATTAACCTTGGTGGGTACGCGAGAATAGCAACACTCTAGCTCTCCACACTACTATTATACCCCTTTTGGCAGGTATTCAATTTGATGAGAGAAGCCGGAAGCAGGTAAACAGACGGACATTTAATGTAGTGGGAAAAATTGGCGGGCAAGAGCCGGTGAGGGAGTCGTCGAGGGGCAACTTAGCGTCAAAGGAGAGCCAAGAGAGGCACACTTGCCGACTCGATTCCGTCGGGCAGGGAAATGGCAAGGAAGGATGAAACGACGAGGGCAGTATCGACCGACCTTGTTATTTTTGAGGCAAGTGAAGGGGTTTGGTTTGCAGCAGGGGATCCAGTTCTGCCGAAGCGAGTTGAGGACAACAAATCTTGGAAAAACACGCGCAAGTCGCAACAACCCCGTAAATCGATCGAACCGAGAGAGAGATTGAGAGTGTAGAGAGGGAGGGGGAAGAGCGAACGAAAAATGTTATTATTTAGCTATTAATAACAGTTTTGTTCCTTCTGGAATGGTGCCACGCATAATGCTTGACAACAAAATTTCCACCCGTGTCACCTTAGTCACACCGGCTGGTGACAAGAGAGAACCCTTGCCGCACTACATGACACGCGTGTCTGCATAGATAGCCAAACAAGACCACAACACTGACATGGGGCTTGGTACCCTGACGCAGGCACCTCGTAACGTACGCAGGGAAGAAGGGAAAGCGGAGGTATGTCAAGGCGCCGCTCTTCCGGCCATCTTCCGACCACACACAAACGTACCGCTCAATGCTCGTCCGGAGTCAGCCCTTAACAACGAAACAACACACAACGTTTCGACAAGGAACAGCGTAAACACCGCCGCAGCGGGGAGCAAATGCGCCCTCCACAAAAAAAAACTGTCACCCTTTCACCCCGTTCCCCCACCCCCACGCAGAGCGGTCACAATGTAATTCACGTCCAAGTCCCCCGGGTTCTCCTTCCATCTGCCCGACACCGGGTTGTACATCAACCCGCACGTCTCCACGAGCTCTCCTGGAAACCCGTGTGCCTGCAGCATCGCCGCGAGGTCCTCTGGGGGGACAAACTTCCGCCAGTCGTGGGTCCCCACCGGCACGATGCCTGCCAGGTACTCCGCGCCCACGATCGCGAGCGCGAAGGACTGTGAGGTTGGGGGCGTTGGTGGGGGAAATGGGAAGCGAACGGTAACGGTTTGTTGTCGTTGTCGTTCAAGCCAAAATCTACGCGTGTTTCTCGACCCCCGTCGAAGTATCTCTTGTTTCGTGTCCCCCCTACCGGGAGCAACAGGCCCGCGGTCACACACTACCTCGAAAGGCACAAGTTTGGTTGTAGCAAGGACGGGCTTCGACGCTGCTGCTGGGTGACTCTTTTGGTAATGTGTGCGCCTGAATAAGTAACTTTGAGGATGCTGCCTCCCTCGATGTTCATACGAGCGGTGAAAGCTTCCCAAACTGTAGTACCCCGAAAGACGCATGCATGCCGCGCCTTTCCGCAGCAACGGCGGATGCCAAAAATCTGAAGTACTTCTTTACAGAGACAAGACAATCGCGCCACCCCAAATACGAGGCACCAGGCACATGAAGCAGCACGCGTTCACAGGTAGTGTGCTGGGATGTGAGGAACTCATGCTCAGGAGACCTACCTTAGCGGTTCGGTTGATCGTCGACATGGCCAGCATCCCCCCGGGCCGTGTCAGGCTTGCCAAGGACGACACGAAACCGGCGGGGTCTTCCACGTGCTCGATCACCTCCAGCGATGTAACCAGGTCGAACTGCTCTCCTGTATGTACGTGTGTCCGCGCAATTTGGGTTTGTCGATAGCACCTCTCTCGTTTTGCATCAAGGGGTCGCCTTGGTCTTCAGACCGGCAACTTCAGGTTGGAAGCACGCCAAAAGCGCCTGAAACTCCGGTGACGCGCTCTATCTAGACGCACCTGGGCGTGTAAATACACGACACTCCGACACGAAAGCTAAAAAAAATACGCCTTGAGCTGCTACTACACCCAGCAACAGCGATCGAACGGGAGGGGGTAAAAACACACGATTGCGACCACTGTAAAGCTAGCGTTTGACGGTGATATAGTACACGCTTGCTCAACCACAAACACGGTCGCGAAAGCTAGCCCCTGTTGTCGACTGATTCCTACTTAAAGGATTGCTAAAGCTTAGGTCGGACCTTGAACAGACTAGAAAACCAAATCCATAATTCAGAGGAACCTTGCCCACCCGCATCAACAGATCAGGAACGCACCTCGATTCTCCAGCTCTTCTGCGGTCGTGGCCTCGTAGCGGATCGTCCGAGTCAGCGGATCGCCTTGGGCGTGCGCAGATGCCACGGCCACGTTCTCTGGCGACGGGTCAACCCCCACCACCTCTGCCCCAAGCCGCGCCAAAGACTGTTTCGAGGTGGAGAGAAGAAAAGGGGGCGCACGAAGACAGACGAGACGGAGAGGGAATAGGAAGAGGAGGAGCGTTGCTCGCGCTTCGTCAACTCGCCACGTGAAGTGAGGAGTGGGTGGCGCCCACGTAAGTAGCTCTTGCATATGAACTGGCGCCGAAGGATGACCGGAGCAATCACGTCTTGGCGATCACGCTGGCGAATGATATTCTATGCCATCTCATCGACAAAAAAAAATCACGTGCGGTAGCCAAGCAAATATGCCCGTGTATTGAAGGTTTTCTACCCACCATAACGTGGCGCCATCTACCAGTTTTAGCAACTACAATACAGCAGGGTCATGACGTGTGCCGGAGTCGTGCGGCAATAAACTATGTTGGACAATCGTTCAAAAGAGATCGTTGCCAGATGTCAGCCAATCTGTTCTAGAACACGTGGAACCCCCCATCCCCCCCCACCGACACAAACGAATTCGCATCTATGTTTGAAAACCAGGGAACCTTGCGGATATTCACAATTCACCTCTCTAACCTAACCGAACTACACGTCTGAACGTCTGCGGGAAAACATCGCGGGCGGGCGACCTATTCTCGCCTCGCAAACCACCAGACACACGCCACACCACGCACACCTCGCTCAGCAGCCCCCCGCCGCACCCGACGTCCAGCGCACGGAGCCCGGCTAGCGGCGTCGCAGACCCCCAGTGCGGCGAAGCCTCGGGCAGCGACGAACCCACCTGCCTGTTCCGTTTCCATGGTCAGCAGTACACACGAGGGTTCAGCAGCACGCACGAGTCCGAGAGCGGGAGGCGGAGGGACACCGCGCGAGAACAGAAAGCAACACCGGCAAGGGCTGATCATGGTTTTGCGACGCGAAGGTCGAGCGAGGTCGCGCGTGTACACGAAGGTGGGAGGTGGTGGCGCCACCGGGCCACAATACGGTGCGCGCGGATACGGGATGGTCGGCGCGAGGAAATGTGGTGGAGTACGGTTCCCCGGAACGGGAAGATGGGAAAATGAGACCTGTGGTAATATCCGAGAGAAAGAAGAGCATTGGTGGTCGCGTTTTGTCCCGTGCCACGTTGGACATTCAAGTCTGTGTTCCGACGAGGCTAGAAAAGTGTGCCGAAAATCCTGTGTAGTTTACCCTGAACCAGACTCTTCTGCTGCCTGCCTTGCAGTTCAGAAGAAAGTTGCCACACAATCAACGCCCGTCTTGAAACTCAAGGTATTCCAGAGAAACTCGCCCGAAAATTCTGTAGCCGTTCTGTTGTACGCTGAGCTGTGCGTACCTGACAATGTACTGCACGCGCGTCACATTCATGGAGTGCAGCGGCCCGGCTCCTTGCCTGGAAGCCGGGTTCCACCACTCCCTGCGTAACGTCAAGGTCACGAATAGACGTGAGAGAGGAGGAAACGGCAACGTCAGGGTACAGCGTTGCGGGTGACGGCGCGTGGGAGATGCGCTGTACTATCTTGCGGAAACTCGTTGGGATGGCGCTATCGTCAGAAGGCGATCGGCCGGCGGTTGACGAATTCGGCCCGGCGGCGCACCACAGATCGTTAATGAACCAGCCGCTGTGAATCCCTTGACCCCTCTGGGGCTGCCCTACTTACCTTCCCGCTGGACTGTGCTATCAAATAATTCATTTCCGCTTTTCCATCATAATAGTGCCAGAAAGCGAGACGTACAGACAGGTGGGCCGGGCAGGAAGTTATTCAGAGGCGGTGCCAACAGCCCGCGACAGGCTGATGGAGTCGCATAGGTTCGTTAGGATTCTACCGAGTTGTTGTGCTATCGTTCGGCGCACAGCCCTTTATGGTTCATGCCTTCCACCATTCTTTTTCAAGGCATTCCTAAATCCTTACTCGCAAAACGGTCACCAAGCGCCGCTTCATGCCCCCGGGGACAATATGCACCGTCGGTATCCGTTCGGGCTACCTTATAGAGCTCCTGAGAGATACGCACGTCAACATGACATACCACGCCGGGGCAGCAACCTCTGCCGGCATCTGCTGCTGCTGCTGCTGCTGTGTGTAGCGTGCTTCGAGAAGCAGTGCGCCGTTATCACGTGGGGCGTGTGTGAAAGCAAACGAGCGTGGTGAGCAGATACTGTTGTGAGAAGCAACTGAGCAGCAGCAACATGTTTGGCCATATCGCATGCATACCACCCACCCGCTTCTAAGACTACGGTTTGGCGCACTGTCTACGCGACAAGCACTGGACTGCAAACAAAAACAACAACTCAAAATACGATCCATCACTATTTACCACTTGTCAGTAAAAACACACGGAGTAGAAGCAAGGTTAAACTACAGTCTACACCTCACCCGGGATCCAGCGTTACCACAGGGAAGCTAATGTGTAACTGTAGTCTGTAGAGCAGTTCTACGCGGGTACAAGGAAACATGTACGATTGAGCACATGGCGTGCGCTGCCACACTACACCACTCAATCGAATGGCGTGGTTGACAGTTTTGACGTATGCGATTCTTCGCACTTCGTACTCCCCACAGTAGGGCTACTGCTGCTGACTATGACACGCACCACCTTCTCCTCACTATCCTGGATCATCCTCTGGTCCTACACGCATACTACAGCAGTACAGCAGAGGTGCTCCTCAGCTCACTTCTCAAGGTGGCGAAATTTCTCGAGCTCTTCTTCGCTGATATTGGCCCTGCTGTGCCGTGATTCTCTTATTCCTTCTGTTCCTTCTTGTCCTGTACCCGCCTTATCTTCGGCTACCCCTTCTCCTGCCTGAGTAGAGTGTGCCGAGGGAGTGCTGTACGGGAAGCTTGGTGTGTGCCGAGTCTGTTGCAGCGCCGCCCATGGACGGAGTTTCCGAGGACAGCTGCATCGCCACAACAGCCGGTGCATAGCGGAGCGCAAGAAAACCGCACAACCTTTCCCTGGTTATCCCCGACGGCGGCACGCACTTTCCCAGTCTACCGGGCTGTGTGGGTTATGGGTTATGGGCTCTGGGCTCCGGTAGGTTTTTTAGAAAGGTTTTCCGAGGTTCGAGACTTCCCGAAGCGACACCAGACATTCCGCGCGTGACGTCATACCCCGATACCCAGAGTTCTCCTGGTTCCTTGTTCCCGCCCTCCTCACACTTTCGTCTAGTCCACGGCCGTGAGCTCAGCATGAAGGTAGTGTGCACCGGGTTGTTGTTATTGATCTGGCAAGCGCCTAGTGTTCGCATCCATGGAGCAGGTAGCGTATGTCGTGCGTGGCGGTTACTGCTTTGTGATCTGTGCGCCTCGCATGTTGCACCGCCGTTTTTGTACACAGTGGTTGGTGATTCGTCTACAGCAGTGTGCGAAACAGGTTCTCGTGTCCCGTCGCTTTTCGCGCTCTTTCTGTCTGGTGTGCTCGTTGACTCCTGAGCGACCGACGATAACTTTTCTCGGGGGCTAGTGGCATAGAACACTTGAGCGACGCACGAGCGTGTACTTTCAATCGGGAGCAACGTCGGGCTATTTTAAGAGCCGAAATTGCACCTACCTGCTTCTTCTCGGAAAGGCCCACGCGAAGGAGAGATTCCGGGCGGAAATCGTCCCGCACACATCACGTCGATGTTACAGTAGTAGTTAGCATCCACAACGGGTGACTGCAATGACCCCTCAACAGCAGTATGTACGAGCCCGGCCACTGCCGCTTCTTCTTCTCAAGCCTAACACGCGCTCATGATGAATGATGACAAGGTTCGGTCCGCCAAACAAATTGATCATGAGGTTCGCTCACCCACCCAGAAGTTGATTCCCTTGTCCCTCACATCTGGTGATGGGAAAGTGCGGGCTAGCGCAGAGGTTTGTTGGTTTCGCGCCCCTCGGAGCAATTGCACCGGGTGGGTCCAAACCGAAAGAACGACATACCGTAGGTGACACAAGATACCACCCCCCCTCTGGATCGATTTCCAAAGCTCTGTTTCTCCACAGCCTAAGTATGTACCGCTGCCGGTAGTGGCGGTGCCGCAGATGACGGCCTTGGAGCCGTCTCGTCGAGAGCTTTCCGGAAACGTATCGTGTATGTATACATCCTCTTCGTCGTGGAATACTACTACTACTGTATTCGAGCTTTGAAAATGCAGAGGGTGTGGTGCCTTGCGTCACCTGCGGTAATTTATTGGATGCTATAATATTCGATTTCTGCACCAGAATCGCACCAACCTAAACCCTTGCGTGAGATTGCGAGCTGAAGCAGCTCCGGGCTCATTCTTGAGCGGTAACTGATACTGCAGTTGGCACTTTCGATCCCGGGAGGGTATAATCTTGTTGGGGAGCCCTGGGGTGCCCATAAAACGGGGAAAAGACACCTACTTGATAATGTAGTCTCGTGCAGCAATATTGAGCAAAATTCAAAGAAAATGTTTTTTAACCTAGTTTGGAGTGCCTCCCCCCCTTTCCAGGCCCTCTGAGGGTACCTCGGTGTGAGGGATATTTGTTATGGGCATCGTTGGGGCGCCACGGCCGTCGCACACATAAATGTCCTGCAATTTTTCAACTGGCTTGGGCCGTCCAAACCCCGACGTGTACGTACGTAGTACTTCGTATGCACTTTGGATTTACGGAATTATTATGCTAATTTCAAGACATGTCGCACACACAAATGTCCTGCAATTTTTCAACTTGTTGGGCCGACCAAACCCCGATATGTACGTTATATATGCACTTCGGATTTACCACATAATTGTCCACCTCCTTCTCACAGCTGCAGCACCTCATACCACCTCAAACAAAAAAAATCCTGGAGGACCAGCACGGGTGCCCGAGGCAAGCTGCGATACAATTTGTTATGGGCATCCTTGGGGCGCCACTTCTTTTCCGTTTTTCACCGCCGTGGTGCATCCGTATGATAGGAATGAGTCAAACTGTGTTATTTTGCGGTACGTTCGAAAAATGCATTTCACCCAACCAAGCATTTGCGAGACACTCTTGACCTGACACATTGGGTGCGAGTGTGGCCGTGGTTCTGGGTGCGCCGAGTGCCCACATCTGTGCGATTGTTTTTTGTCATTCTGCCACCTTTTGTCGTGATCTCATTGTTTCGCCGCGTTTTCCAGTTCGCGGCCGACACCTACCTGCATAGGCGGTGTGTCGTGTATGCTTTGCTACGCATGGTCGCTGCTGTGGTGACATTCAGTATCGCACCTATCGGGGTCATCTAACCGGGAGTACATGTACGAAAGCAGCGCAGGACGAGAAAAGTGGCTGTGTTATGCTTCTTCAGTTATCGCGCAGGGGGTGCGTTGGAAACGCTGGAACGAAAACAGTTGCTAGTTTCCCGCACTGGGGTCAACGTTGTCGCGGGATACGGGAGGTGCGACAAAAAACACAAGAAAAAACACAAGAAAGAAAAACCTCAGGCCCGTTGTCATGGCAATCTGATACTATTGCCAAGACGGATTGATTTGGGGACTGCAAGAGCCGATATACGAGTTCCCATACCGCCGAGAATCACCGCAGCTACAATACATCATCTGTATCCGGCTGCAAGATCTCCGGTGAAATTTTGAACGGAGCAGCACACCAAGAAAATCTTGCCCGAACCGTTGTCCGTACTCGGAAGCATTTTGTGAAGGACAACACGTTGCCGATCAAGGAGGAGAAATAGACTGTCACGACGCGCAGCCGCCTGTCGTGGCCAGCTAAATATGCTCTTTCACGTCGAGCTTAAAAGTGGTGTTCCATGTTTGCCCCGCGTGAAATCGTCACCCGCACAACAGGTGAAAGTCCTCTTCTTCGCGTCATGCCGAGAGATGGCGGGGACCAAGGAGACCTCCCTCGAGCTGCCCGGAGACAGCTCTTCGATCGCCCAGCTCAGGGAGCACATCGTTGAGAAGCTGCCGGGCCTCCAGCCGGTGGCCGCCACGGTGACTCTGGCCCTGAACCAGGAGTACCTAGACCCCGAACAAGACGCCACCCTCAAGGAAGGCGACGAGGTAGCCTTCATACCGCCCATCAGCGGAGGGTGAGCTTGCCTTCTTCCCGCCCATCGGCTCTTCCTTAGTAGAACGCGGAGGCACCGTGTAGATCGCGTTGGTAGCGCTCTTGGTTCGAAGGGGCGTTCGCGAGCCTGCGGTGGGGGGGGAAAGAGATCAGCGAGGGGGATACATGTTCGATTGTCCTTGTAGACACCTGCCAGAACTAGAAGTGCTGTCCACGCTCGCAATAGTACTGCGAAATCCTTGCCACACCGCCGTAAAACAGGTTTTTGTTCCGGCTGCTGTTTTAGCACGGGAACGCCGGGGGTGGTTCAAAGCGATTCTCGGTGGCGGATCTGATACCACCCCGTCGTTATTGGCGAGGGGTGGAAGTTTTTAACACATCTGTCTCATACGACTGTAATTAGAACATCGGCGATTCTTGTGTTCGGCTTGGTGTAGCGATGGTTGGTGTGCAACTCTTCTCGATGATGGTGGTGAGTTTTTTGTTCGTGTGCTGTAAAAACAGGTTTGTCTGCTCCTTGAATTTTGGTTGGCCGATGGAGATGAGGTTCTAGCTCATTAATGTGGCGAGCGGATATTTTTGCGCGTTTCCCGCTGTCGGTGTGCGTATGTGTTGATTCAGGCGCTCATTCATGTTTTGTTGTTGTGAGATAAACGGGGTTTCGGAATAGTGTATACGTCATTGCACGAGTTTCGTGTGTGATTTCAGTCATGTAAGTACTGGGTGGGACTTATTGCTGCTGCTAGAGACGTATTGGGAGGCAGACAGGATGTGGCTAATCGTTGGTAGGATTTTGCCTTTTTGCAGGCGCAAGGGCTGACCTCGTGAGCGAAATTCCTGTCGGCTGCTATGCTTTAGCCCCGCTGCTGCTCTTCCTCGTGCACCCAGCAAATATTGCGGCAATCAAACGGAAGAGATGTGTTCGAGCAAGATTGCATGTATTTTCCATTTTGACTCCTTGGGCTATGCATGTTGGCCAGTCCTTTGCATCATAGCAGCACTCAAGCAGTATCGGAGCTTGGCATGTCCGCGACAGAAACGCATTAAGTTTTGTGAAGCAGTAAAGTTTTTTAAGCCCACCACGACACGGAGTTGGAGAAAACGCGCGGTTTCGGGTCATCATCACGACACACGAAAACTGCGAAGGTGACAAGCTGCTGCCCGCATGACGGCGAACCCAATACAAAGCTTGATGGTTACGCGTGGGTCAGCTACGCCGCGCGGATGTTAGCGGCACTAGCGCGGGCAACTCGTCACAAAGTGCGTGTGAAGCCCGCGAAAGTTAAGCCTAACCTAATTTTACCTTCGAGGTTCCCGAGTCGCGTTAAGATGCGCTCTCAGCACCCGCGGTTGGGGGGAGCCTTCGGATATCATCTTGTTGTTTTCGCCCGTCCACATGGCGTCTTGACAAGACCACGCGGTCTTTTGGCTCGCGAACAATCACGTAGAGAACTCCCAGCGTCTAGTCTACCATAGGTTACAAGTCCTCCCAGTTTGAGCATGCTTCGCGAAAAGTAGGGGGGTGGGCACAGGGCGTGCACGCACGCACCATTTCTATGTACAAAATCTACAAACCACACAAACTGCCGAGTAGTCGTTCATACAGCTTCCGTCCACGGCCCTCTTCCTTTGACGCCCAAACATCCACGTCGCTGAGAGCGGTTCGTAAAGAACGTCTGGGACGGAGTCAACAAACCCAGAGTGCTCGCTCTCGACGGCCTTGTGGCTGCTCCTACCTCCAGCAGCGGTTGCGGAACATGCCACGTCTTTACATTTCATTATATGGCCGTACAAGCCTTCGAAGCCACGTTGTGCTCTGGGTACGTGCAAGACGCTCGTGCTCCAGGCTAGCAGGAGCGGTCTGTCGACCCAACACAAACGACACAAATGAACAGCCACCACGCCATAATCATGCATAGCTGAAGCCGCTGAGCTCTTCCAGCACCCTCCACAGCCGCCGGCACGCCTCGTCGTCTTCCGCCGGTGGGGGCGGGGTGGTCACCCTGCGGCTGACGTAGTACTCGCCGGAGCTGTCGGTCACATCGTCACTCGTCGCCAGATAGAACTGGTCGTTCGCGCTGGAACGACGTGGTAAGTCACGCGAGCGAAAGTAGACAAGAGCGGAGGCAGGTAGAAGCATATGGAGGGAGGGAGAGAGAGAAGAGAGAGAGAGGGGGGGGGGGGGGGGAGAGAGAGAGAGGAGGGAGAGAGAGAGACAGAGAGAGAGCATTAGAGGCTGTACCGAAGATACCCGCGGGTGAAATGGATTGTTCTCCGTACCAACCACGGTACGGGATTCCCGGCAATAGCAGGTTTAGTGTTCGTTGTACGGGATGCCCAACACCCCCCCCCCCCCTCCCGTCTGGTCTGCACAAGGGAAAACAAGAGCATCGCCCTCAACAGATGTTGGCGAGGGTATTACTCTCTATTGAAATGTCATACCTATCCACAGAAGACATTTCTCAATGCAGGACGTCTCTTACGAGAAAACCGTTCACCTCTTCACAGGGATGCCGCCCATTCCCCACCCAGCCCTCAACATCTTGGTGTTTACGGTGCCGGGGTCGAGCGAGTTGCACGTGATTCCCTTCGGTGCTCTCCGGGCGAGCTCCGCGTTAAACATGATGTCCAGCAGCTTCGACAGAGAGTAGGAGGCGTGGTCGCTGTAGCCGCCCTTTTCGAACTGCGGGGTCCCACGGGGTGTACGCAAACCGCACGCGGTTTGTCGTCGGATTAGTCACGAACCACTACTTTTCGACGCGATTCCTATTCTGCATGTACACAGCACGCACAGAAGGTGGCAAGCGCTACCAAACAGTGGTCGTGGTGGTGCTTGTGGTGATACACAGTGAACTAAAACCGGGGCAACGCGGACTGTAACACGGGCGACAGGGCTAAGAGCTGCTACGCCGCATATCACATCGAGCGGCCCACATCTCCGGTCCCGGCGTTGTCGTGAACGTTGGCTCGGGTTCGAAAGAGATAGCAAGCGGGGCTCAAGCGAAGTGACGGGATCGAACGGAACAAGCCAACCGCGTGAGCATCTGCCAATCAAAAACCAAGCCTAACGTACGTGAAATGAGGGCATCGTCCTCGACGAGCGTTGGCGAGATTGTTCCCTTATGCAGGAGGTCTCCGCACATACCCTTATGCTATGCGCGTACACCCGCCCCCCCCCAAGGATCGAGTCTGAAACATCCGATCTCTTCGATCTCCAAGATTCCCCTGCCAACCATTCCGCCCAGGTTTTGCTCAAAGGCCATGTGAGCTGGCCGCAATGCGGTTGGTCTCCCCACCTGAAGATTGTCGAAGTCCAGCGAGTAGGAAGCGGACAGGCTCGCCACGTTCACTACGCGACCGCCGCCGGGTGCCTTGGCGAGTAAGTCCAGCAGACGGCCGGTGATGACGTACGGTGCGAGCACGTTCACTGGGCGAACGGGGAGGGGACGGTGTTTTGACAATAAACAACAGGAGAGTGGGACCTTCAAAACCACGCGGTGGGATAAAACGGAAAGTCACAGAGAGATTTCACTTATAGTGGCGCGGGAAGAGGTGTGCAGATTGTAGCCAGGGAGATACGACTATCGAAGATGAGGGTAGGGACGTTTGGGGAGGTTCTCAATCCGGAAATTTAGAAATGTATTCGCACAGGGTTGAAATAAACACAAGGGGCATATGCGCTAATGGTAGCACCGGCTCGGTACGTCGGCGCGTTCAATCTTGCCATGGACACACACTTGCCCCGGGGGACGCAATCCTTTACCTGCAAAGGTGTACTCCAGTCCGTCGTCGCTATGCCGAAAGTCAGCCTCGAAAACTCCTGTCCGAGCGAGAGAGCGTGTGAACGATGAACACAACGCAATGAGGCGAAAAAGGTGGGGGGAGCAACACGTAGAGTGCAGTTCCGTTTAGTGGAAGAGGTTGAGTACGATGCCGCAAAAACAACACGGGGCCTTGTGAATAAAGAGTGATTGGAGGTGGGTGTTCCATCGGCAAGCTCGAAATCGCCACCTCTACGACACCCGTCCTGCCGTACTAGGTATAAGTTACATGTAGCTTACCAGGTTCGCTCCAGTGGACAAGTGCGACCTTCCAAGCTGTACAACTGTAGATTATATACCTCCTCTTACCTGCGTTGTTGAGGAGGCAGTCTAGCCTGTCCGTCAGACGCAGAACCTCATCGCACAGGTGGTTCGCCCCTCGCAGCGAGCTCAAGTCGGCCACGATCCCCTCCACCTTCCCCTTTCCTCCTCCAACGTGCTCGACGGCTTCCCTTACGGCGGATTCTCGCCTGCCGTGGACCAGCACCGTCGCGCCTTCCTCGGCGAGGCGCGAGGCCGTGTGCCTGCGATTTTGCGTAACCCGGGCAGAACGCAGCAAGAGACCGAATTGACACGCTGCATATACTGCTACTGCCCTACCACAACAGTTGCTTGTGGTAGGCGTCCGCACTTGTAGGTTTAGCTGAGGCAACGTAGGATTCTTCGTTCCTAGAAGGTTAGTTATTATTATTATAAAGGCTATAGGGGATACATTTCTTAACTATCAAGTTCTTACGTGCGGGCGCTAATGGTACTGCTGTACCTTGGAACTGCTGCTCTTGTCGGGGAGCACCCGCACGCATTATACAGGGTCTCCACAAAACAAATTGGTTGGTTTCTCCCACATCGGACAGAAGTTGGTATTCGTAGGGCTAGACGCGAAGCGAAGCTCGCATGCCGTGCACACAAACGCAACGCGCTTGCTTCTCCCTCGTCAATTTCACGGATCTTAATTTTTCCATAAATGTACATCGGAAGCTACACTGCTGCTGCCCCAAAGGGTCCGCTGGTGTGAATCATGCGGCATCATGCTTTGTAGAGCTGTAGAGCCCCCGCTTGCGAAAGTCAGAACGGAAACATCGTTCATGTGGGACCGCAACCTGGTCTTGCACAATCACTCACTTCCCGATGCCATCAGTCGACCCCGTCACCAGATAAACCTTGTCGGCCAGTCTCCTGCGTTGGGGGGAAACGCGTACATACAAATCCGCCGAACCGAACCAAGGCAAGGACGTCGAAGAAGGGGCGCCATCGTCATGTGTCACTTCTTTGCACACTGGGGAGATCCGCTGTCATCACATTTCACACTTCATCATGTGTGTGGCAGCCTTGGTTCTCGCTACGATTGGTGCGCCTTCCCATCTGCTACTAGCACCCCTTCAGCACTACCTTCACGCCCACCCCATCCTCTCGCTCCTTGCTACTTTCCCTCAGACTAAACGGAAGCATGCACAGACGACCCAACTCGGCAGTGATTGTTGCGCTTACCCAGTGACAGCGGCGGACATTTTTGTTGTTCGTCCGACATCGAGCGAGGACAATGATCTCCTCGTACATAAGAACGCGCTGCACAAGGTTGGACACACCAACACGAAAGACAGCATGCGGCCCTTCGATGATGGCATGTTATGTCGCGACTATGTCCTCTGTTCTCTGTCCTGGGAACAACAACACAACAAATTATATGTCACATAGCCTTTGCAACAAAGAAATCATCCCGCATATATGGGGGGCGCGCAGAAAACAATAACCAATTAAGGGGGGGGGGTGCTGCCACCGGTGCCACTGGCCGGCAGCCGCGAACACGGAACACACAACACATGGCTGCGACTGCTGTCGCCACACCAACTGTGTGCTGTGCTGTGTGTGCGCATAGTGCATTGCCTGCACACACCTTTCCTCCGTCGGAATTTTTTGTGCCTAATTTTGAGTAGGCACTGGCGGAGGAGGTGCTCTGTGTTGAGACGAGAGCTCGGGATTAAAATTGGCTTCTCATTAGTTAGAGCAGCAAACCGACCAGCAGCAGCATATCTACAGCAGTAGGAAGTCATGGCGGCTCCACCTAGAGACGATGGCGGCAATCAAGAGTCCGCTGCAGACAAAGATCTGAGGGCAGCCGAACTGAGCTTAGGGATCAGCCGGCACCTAGCGCGCGCCGATGTGGCCGAGTTTAGTAGCGGCAGCAGTAGCGGCAGCAGTAGCGGCGGGAGCGACTACAGCAGCGACAGCTTAGACACAACGTCGTTGTCAACGGCAGCAACGGCGCAGGAGAACCAACGTGCAGCGGCAGCGAAAGAAAAAGAAGCAGCAGCGCCTCCACCTCCACCAGGTATGTCCCATGCCTGAGCAGGAGGTTCGTTTGTCGCAATGCTCTTGAGGCCTGTAGTACATGTTCGACTTCCCAGCAGCAACCTCTGTCTGGACGCTGGTGTGATTGTGTAGACACAACCGCCCGCTTGCTCCCGCCAAAGAATGCCGCTCCAGAAACCATCCTGTGGGAGCTAATGTGCTGCCGTTGCGCGAGGATCAGTCGAAGCCCAGGTAGGTCGTACAACTCTTCGAGTCTATCGCGAATATACGCTGAACCTTCCTGCAAATAAGCATAATCTGCAAGAGGAGAAAATCGCAAACTACCGTGCTGTAAAGGTTGCGGTAAATAAGGCACCTTTCTCGCGTTCCTCTCCCGCCGTGTGGTTGTTGGAACCGGAGAAAAGAGGCAAGAGAAAATTCTCGTGTGGTTTATTGTCGTGCAAACCTATTCATACGCTGATGTGAGCGTGTGGCCAACCTCTTCTTCCCCCTTTCCTTGTTTCCAGAGACCCGCCTCTCATGTACTTTACGTTTTTTATCGCGCCGGGCTTCCGAACTTCCCTCCGATCCGAGGCCTGAGGAAGAACGCACAACTCTATCTGCATCTCCGGCACGTTGCCATCTCCACAGCCCCAGCAGACAAGATACACGTGCCTTCACCCACCCTACACATGAACCGGCAACTAGAGATATATACCACATTCCACTTTGCCAGACTACTATGGTCTTCGTCCCCATCGTTGTAGAGCAGAACCATCTCAACTTATTTTGGCAAACTGCATACATACGTACTCCAAGCATACGTACGCACCAAGTTCCGTGATCTTCTCTACGAGGGTGCAACAAGATAACACATCCAAGAATCTAGCATCTCCATCTTCCCAGCTTTACGTATGGTCCGATGCACAAGATGGCCACCAAACTATCATGTAGAGCCTGTTGCCCACAGGGGAGATGTAGCTGTATGCTTCTTTGGGAATCGTATAATAACACAGGCCGTGCTCCGCTAACGCTCTGAAGCTACAATAATTCTAGACCCTGATCTATGGATCTATGGATCTACGGATACAGATGGATTTGTTGTTCTTATAGCAAGAATTAATAGAAAGAAGATGAAGCGTTCGTTCCTTCTCGAGATAAAGAAACTATTGAGGTACGCCGTTAACCCCTTTGGGTCTAGGCTGGACTGTCAGATTTTTTTTTTGCGCCAAAAAAAAAAAATGAGAGCGAGAGCGAGCGGGAGAGAGAGAAGTGCAGAGAAAGACACCAGTGTACTTCTGCACACGCAACAGCTATCTCCACCTGTAGGCCATGAGAGAAGCCGGCGACAGGGTGGTGGCCACAGATAGGGTCGTAGAAGGGTTGGTGGGTGGTCGCGCTGCGGTCAGTAGGGCAGGTTAGCTGTGTAGCCTTTGAAATGATCAGTCGTCTAGCTGCCTCAACTAGTCTATTTTCGGTATATTGTAAATGATCAGTCCAGAGAGGGCAAAATGATCAGTGAAGACCCATAGCTGGTATTTGTACTTCTGTACTTCTCTGTTCTCTGCCCCCCCCCGAAATGTGCCCTGCCAACTCTCTAGAGCTCCTGTGTTTTTCAAACAACAAGCACATCCACCAGCACACACCTGTACCTCGTGGTTTCCTAGGTTCGGGCGAGGGTGGTATGTGTGGCGCTACGAGTGTGGATGTGTTGCTGATATGTTTTACTCGTCTACAGCAGTAGTAGTAGTGTTGTTGTAGCGTTCGTTGTAGCTGTTGACACAATGACTGCTGCTGGATCTTGGGAACGATTTTCAAATTGTTGGGAACCACGATATCCTCGATATCTGGGCTTCGGCAGGGACTGCAATACCCCTCCCTTTTGCTGTCCTCTGCTCTTTGCAGCAGTGGCTTCCTACGTTCGGGCGAGTGTATGTGTGGTGCTGCGAAAGAACACATATGTATGTATGTATGTACTGTATGCACACACGCGTTCATTGACATGTGCATATGTTGAGAGATTCATGATTTGGCATTGATTGGCCCCATTCCCATTCCCGAGACCTTGATATTACCCGCTGTCACTGAAGTCTCTTCATTGGTCAGCCGGTTAGCGCGGGTGCTAATAATCTAGACACACCTACCTATGGACTTGCCAATACACGGCGCGAAGGGCTGCAGGGCGGCAACTCCACGACTTGCCACTACACCAGCATTTGCAAATGATCAATCAATGATCAGTGAGAACGCCTGAAGACTCAAAAGGGTTAATACGAGGGGACGAGGGGTTCGGGAGTATCGAGCAACCAACAAACGGCGATGATTCGCTGAAAATCGACTCGCGATCGTCTGTCCTTTCGGCTCATCGCAAAAACATGTCCTCTGTAGCGATTCCCTCGAGCTGCGCGTGGTGGGCGTTTGCATCCATATCTTCCGCAGGAGGGGATAAGAGCAAGCGGAGCACCAGCAGCAGCGGCGGCGGCGGCGGCGGCGGCGGCGCGAGTGCAAGTTCGCTGCGGCGAGGAGAGTTCTTCGTAGAGCCGGAGTGGCAGCGAGCTGCGGGCAGATGGACGAGGTTCGAGGAAGGCCTCCTCAGGGAGATGAAGGCCGAGCTGCAAGGCGACCTCAGGGCGGCGCCGCCGTTTCCGGAGGTCGTCGGTACTAGACGCATGCTTCGATTTCTGAGGTGCGACGGGGTTAGAAAAATGCTGCTGCCATCGAAAGCAACAAGGCGCTCTCATGTAGTTCCATGCACTGGCCGTTCGCGAGACACTTTGGTTCTAGGGCGCTTGTACCCCCCCCCCCCCGGTCCTCGCCTACGTGTGGTACGCATGTACCGCTGTTTACGGGGCCGTCTATGTCTTTTTCCATGGTTCTAGTCCTCCTGATCGTCATGCTTTCTCAGCATTTATGTCCCTGTGTAGGTGCTGCTCGATCTAAGAGTCGGTGATATGTTTTTGCCCGGCCCTTGCGCGAACACACGGACAGGGGGCACGACCACGACGCGGCCAAGGCCGCGGTAATGATGCGGCGGATGCTGCAGTGGCGCAAGGACAACGGCGTCGACGACATCCGCGAGGACATCATGCAGAACAAGAAGTTCGACCCCAGGTTAGTAGACGGCAGCGAGCTTGCGTCTTCGGGTAGTGTGACAAGGGGAAAGCACGTAGGTTTGTGTAAAGTGTGCCGAAAGGAAGCGGCTCAAGACTGACATATATCGGACCGCAGCAGTGCGTCTCCTTCCCGAGGTCCGAACAGCCTTCGGTGCCCTGTGGTAGTGAGTATGACTCATGTTGACTCATGTTGTCTGAGGTCTCCGTTTGACGCATGTTTGTCTGAGTCCGTTTGACGCGTCTCCTTTACTTTTCTCGTGTTTCTGTCCGATTTATTTCCCCCGCGGTGGCGCTGGAGCCAGCCTGTTTCCAGAAGGCGAGATGATCACGAAGCTGTTCCCGCTGCTCGTGGCGAGCCCGCTGTGCGTCGATATGGACGGAGCTCCGATCTCGTACGAGTCTTACGAGTTCAGCCCGAGGCAGGCGAGTCCCAGCAAGTGGTGCACGATATCAAATCAATTAAACACGGTGTTTCGAGCGTGTTTGAGATGTTTGGCCGCAACAGCTGCACAAGCAGCAGAAGTTAAGTAGCACGCGCAGAGCGTTTTTTTTTCGTTTCAAGGAAGGTGCACTCTGACAAGAGGAGGCGCTGCCCAAGGGAAAAAGTGTTGCTGCTGTGCTACCTTGTCCGTCCACAGCAGCCAGCCGCACCCAGCACACACCTTAGCCTCCCCCATCACCGGGTCCCTGGTCATGGCATTTAGAAGCATTGTCTGTTTTGGAGCCGCACTGAGGCTGACGTCTTTTCATTGGTCAGCCGGTTAGCTCGGTCGATGACAATAATAAAGACACACACACCTTAGCCTCCCCCATCACGGGTTCCCAGATCGTAGCATTTAGAAGCATTTTCTGTTTTCAGCCGCACTTGAGACTGACATATGTTCATTGACGAGCCGGTAAGCGCTGCCGATGCTTATCTTATTATTTGCACGCACATACCTTAGCTTCGTCAATAGCTCCCCCTCCACTCACGGGGTCCCAGGTCATGGACTTTAGAAGCATTTTCTGTTTTCAGCCGCACGTGAGACTGACGTCTTGTCATTGGTCAGCCGGATAGCGCGGTCAATCCTAATAATTAAATCTCACACACCTTAGCTCCCCGGACCATGGTCTTTAGAAGCAATTTCTGTTTTCAGCGGAACGCGAGACTGGCGTCGTTTTATTGGTCGGCATGTTGACCGTTGACGCGGTCGATGCTTCTATCACAAGCAAACACATACTCCACCCTTGCCCTTCCCTCGGGCGTCGTCTCACGCGTACGGCTGTCCCGCACAGGTGACCGCGCACGCGAACGGCGACCTCGGTTTCTTCATCAAGTTTCACATCTACTGCCAGGAGTTCAAGCAGGTGAGCCCGAGGGGGAGCCGGTGGTGTTTTTCCTCCTTATTCGTCGTCGGTGGTGGTGGTGGTGGTGGTATTGGTGTTGTTGTTGTTGGTCGCATTGTTTGAAGCGGGCTCAAAACAAGGCAAGACACGGCCGCCGCAGCCTTGCCCCCGCCCCCGCCCCCGCCCCGTGCTATTTTCGAGCGCTGTACCGGATGGCCGGCATTCCGTCGACCGTAGGATCCACCTCTGTAGCGGCTCGTTGAAAGCACAACCAACCCACCAATCACCGCTCTCCTGTCAGTATTCACAGCCGTCCAACTTGTCACCGCTCTTGCCGCTCTTGCCAGATATGCCTGGACAGCCTGTCAGACGCCAAGGAGATGGAGAACCTCGCGAGGAGGGCCAAGCGTGCCTCGTCGCCCTCGCCGCCGCCGACAGAGTCGACGGCGACCGACCCTCGTGTCCCCGCCACCGGTGGCAGCGGCGGCGGCGGCGGCGGTGGCGGCGGTGGCGGCGGAACCACGGGCGGAGGAGGGCGGGACACGGGGGCGGGTAGAGGTATGCGGGGGAGAGCTAGCACCATCGGCGGAGGAGGCCTTCCGCTACCCGAAAGCGAAGACAAGGGGGGCACGGTTCCGCCAAAGTTGGAGGGGCGAGGCGTGGAGAGTGAGGAGGAGGGGAAGGGGCCGTGGGGGGTCGTGCTTCGAAACACGATCATTAGGGACCTGTCGGGGTTCGGCATGGAGCACGCCGGGACGATCGGGAGGTCCCTCATCTCGCAGGTGTTGGCCGTCAGCCAGGACAATTATCCGGAAATGGTGAGAGAGAGAGAGGGAGGGAGAGAGAAAGAGAGAGATCGATAGGGTGGTGTTTTTTTTTCTTTGTCTGTTTTTTTTGGACAAGAGGTGTATTTATGCGTTGAGATTCGTGTCGTTCGGGAGGTTTTTTCGTCGTTGGAGGGTGGTCATTTGCGGGAGAATTTCGCGGGGCAATTCCTACGTAGATGCTTTTTTTGTATTTCTGGGAGCAGCGTGTGGGGGACTGGACGAATCGCGGAAACAGATGTTGACCGCGGAACCCCCTCGGTGTTTTCTCTTACCCTTCTCGTGCTCTTTCGCATTGACCACTATGCGGTAGCGGTGGAGCTTTCTTTGCGACATTCGTCAAAAATGGCGGCGTCGACGTGTCGGATTGCGAACCCCGACGCATGTTTTGGTGGGGTGACTCACGCGTTCCGACAGCTGTAACCCCGGTGCGATGAAGCCGCAGCAGCCAAGTACTAAAAATCAAAACCCAGCACCTTTCCCATGCACACGAGAGTACGCCCTACCCCGATGCACACCAACCGGCCTTGATACTATTGTCGTGATTGACGGCGACCCCATAGCTGTTGTGTGTAAAGGTAGTGCATAGGGTTCGAGAAGGATACCAACGCTTGGGTTAACGAAGGGGGTTTGATTCGGAAGCGTCAAGCGGCGCATCATTCTCGGAAGGCCTCCGCACCACAACCACAACCCCCGCAGCAGAACCTTCCCAGAACGTTCTTGTTCTTCCGACAGCAGCAGACTAGCCAATCTCCCGTTCTGGACACCGATACGCCGCTGTTCGTCCCCCAAGCCACTCTCGTCCCATCCGTGTGGATCTTATCTTTATCTGACAGATGGAGAAGTGCTACATCATCAACGCGCCCTGGGTGTTCTACGCGTTGTGGAAGGGACTGCAGCCGTTGATGTCGGCGGGCACAGCAAAGAAAGTGCAGGTGCGAAGATGGTGTTTGTTATTACGCTCTTCTCCGTAGACAAACGAGCGCAGCATATTGTAGGGGGCTGTTTTTCGTGTGTCTTATTTTCAGGGTACACCTCGGTACTAGTTTTTTAGGCGGATCCAGGCGGGGCGGTACGTCAATGTGGCGGTACTTTTTTGGCGGTTGGCGGTATTTCGTTTTCCGGCGGTACCGCCTTTGGCGGTTCCCGGTACTGCCAATAATGGCGGTACTTTTTTGGCGGTACGTCAATATGGCGTTTTTTTTTAGGCGGTTCCCGGTACTGCCAAATACGGCGGTATTTTTCTGACGGTACTGAAATATGGCGGTACCGCCTTCGGCGGTTCCCGGTACTGCCAAATATGGCGGTATTTTTCTGGCGGTACTGAAATATGGCGGTACCGTCTTCGGCGGTTCCCGGTACTGCCAAATATGGCGGTTTTTTGGTGGCGGTACTGAAATATGGCGGCACCGCCTTCGAGGGTTGCGAGTAGACCAGAATATCAAAATATAAAATATGGCGATGCCAAACTACATTTCGGTGCCCTTGGCGCCCCATCAACCGGCGAACCTCTTTCCTCTCTTTCAGGATGGGTCTTTCTTTGTCTCTTGTATGTACGCTTGAGAGCCTGCATCTCCCATATGATTTCGTGATTTCACGATGCGATGCATACCCATGGTCAAATCGAGCTGTTCATGGACAAACGAAAGGCAACCAAAAGAAGAAAGAAAATGCAAAAAGAGAAGAGCGCGCCAAAACGCGATCCGTCGAATGCCACGGGTGTGTTCGAACAGCTGACGATCGGCGACAGATGAAAGAGGTTCCGCCGAAAAGGAACAAGGCAGAACCAAAAAAATAAATAAATATATATATGTATGACGAAAGAGAAAAAGAAAAAAGAATAAATGTGAACAAAGACGCACGCCAGTTGGACTCGAACCACTGTTCTGCGCGAGACATGGCGTTGGAGATAGTGCCCTATGCTACTTTAGAGGGCAAAACTGAAGTATGGCGGTACCATTTTGGCGGTACTGCAGTACGGCGGTATTTTTTCGGCGGTACTGCAATATGGCGGTTCTCTTTTGGCGGTTCCCGGTACTTCGTTTTTTGGCGGTACCATTTTGGCGGTACTGCAGTACGGCGGTACTTTTTCGGCGGTACTGCAATATGGCGGTTCTTTTTAGGCGGTTCCCGGTACTTCGTTTTTTGGCGGTACTTTTTCGGCGGTACTGCAATGTGGCGGTACTTTTTAGGCGGTCGGCGGTTTTTCGTTTTTCGGCGGTACCGCCTTCGGCGGTTCCCGGTACCACCGAATGTGGCGGTAATTCCCGCCAGTACCGGGACCGTCCACCACGGCGGGAAAAAAACGGCGGGAATTTTCCCGAGGTGTACCCTGCTTATTTTCTTTGTTTTGGGTCAGCGGTGCGTGCGACGTGCGGTGTTTTCGGGGCGGGACTGCTGTGCAACAGTATGGAAGGAAGCTGCGAGGTGTTGTCAGGGAGCTGCGGTAGGTAGACCACGCCGCTCTTGTACCGTTTGCCGGGAGACTTGGTCGCGAAAGATGTTCACGAAGCCAACGCGAGTAGCTGCTTATGCTCGGACTCTCCAAGCCTTGCTGCTGACGCAGCTACTGGTTCGCGAGCCACTGCTGTTCGCTGTTTCTGCTGCTGCCACAAGCAACTTCGATTGCGTTCGGAATTGTTTCACAAGGTGCTACTACTGCTTGCGCCGCCCACCCCGCGCGCTCTTTTGCCACGAACAAAAAAAAAAAAAAGATGCTCAAGTACGACGTCCTTTCTTGTCTGAGCGAGACGATATCGTTGGAGCGACTGCCGACGAGCGCGGGGGGAGCGTGCGACCCCGACATGGCGACCACGGAGCAAATGCACGATTTCGTCGTGTGCGGCCGAGTGGCGAAGCTTCCTGGGGGGGACGGGGCGGCGTCATCTGAGGGGGGGAGCGGGGCGAGCGTGGATGACTCCGAGCAAGAAGAGGAGGAGGAGGAAGGCGACCGGCTGTTTGGAGAGCAGCGGCGCCGGGGGAAGGGAGCAGCGGGAGGTCTTGCGGGTGGTGGGGGTGGTGGAAGGAGTAGCCGTCGTGGGAGCACCCGGCGGAACAGCGGCAGCAGCGGCGCCGGGGACCGCACCGCCGCCGCCGGTAGCGGCAAGAACCACATCACCTTCAGGAGCCTGTTCGAGCGACTGCAGGCTAGGGACGATCCCCGCGAGCTCACCGCCGCCGCTGCTACCGCCGGTGGTCCCCAGCGGCGGCGACTGGGGTCCTCGCCGTCCATCTCTCGAGCCACGTCGTTCCACAGCCACGCCTCGTCGTTCTATTCCCCGCCCCTGTCGAGGCACGGCAGCAACGCCAGCGCCTCAGGCCACGGCGACGGCGGGGGCAGCCGGCGTCAAGACCCGCGGCTGTCGCCGGGAAGGCCGTTCGCCTCGCCGGGGCCCCGGGGTATCCGACGGTCCAACACGGGGGGGGTAGAGGTCGGGGCCGGCGGGGGGGGTGACGTGGCCAACGGCAGCGACCCCGGCAGGCCCACCGGGGGCGCCGGCGCAGCCGGAGAAGGCCAGGCGGAGGACTTCGACAGCCGGCTGGTGGGCCGTGCGCTTAAGCTGTCCATGAAGCGAAAGGTGTGCCCGTAGGGTTGGTGGTGAACCGTCCCGTGTTTTAGGGTGCCCCTGGCGGGCTTGTCGTGTGGGCACGGTGTTTATATTAACGTGGACCCCGCTTGAAGAGATGCGCGGTTGACTCAAAACCCTGCGTTTAATACCCACTCCAAGAGAGAATGAGAACGTCACAGCAGAAGACTACGCAGGTTTTCATTTGGCAACAATACTGGGAACAGTAAAAAAATACTGGAAAAAAGCATAGGAATCGGCGGATGTTGGGGGGGGCTACGGGAAGGTTAGGGGCCTACGCAGCCCCTGCCTCTCAATTTCACACATAAACTTAACTTCTTGGCGCAGGGCAGTCCGAACGGCATCCGGAGCATCGAGGGGGCTCCGACGTATCATACTTTCTCAAGATCACATACCCAAGAGATCCGCGTAGACCGGTGCCACGACCGAGTGGTACACCACACAGCAGTAGTTCGTGTTATCTGCATATGTTGCTCTATTAATAGGTTGGGGGGCGGGGCTGGAGAGGCCGTTCTCCCGCAAGCCTCCGTCCATCTGCACCTACGCCGGAATCGTAAACACGCACCCTGGTGTGGCGATACTGTATGCATAGCTATCCCGGCTTCGTGGGACGACGGCCCCACGTCGGGGTTGTCGGCGACCCGTCCCGGGCTTCCGTGGGAATTCACGGAACACCGAACACTTCCGGCTGCTGCTGCTGTGTGTGTACCGAAGCATGGTTTGTTTGCTCGCGGGTCGCGGCCACGGTCTTACCCATCGGGGGTGCTGCTCTCTCCTTCGCGAATACCGTACGGACGTTGCCCGTTTCCTCGTGCTTCCCTTCGTGGTTCCCTTTCCGAACCCGTTCCAAACCCGTCAGGCTCGGCGGTTCAAGGCCTCACAGGCTGCGGCGGGCGGAGGGGGAGCAGCAGCGGCGCGCAGCAGCGACGGCGGCGGCGGCGGCGGCGGCGGAACCGACGACAGGAGCATCAGCCCCCTGCCCGGCGAGCGATCGTCAGAGGAGCACGAGAAGGGCGGGTGGGCGAAGAAGAAGTGGCGGGCGGTGAGTTGTCTTCTGTTGCATATGTACGCTGGCCCAAAAACGTTTTTACATTTTGGCTTGCGCTTGCCCTTTGTCGGCGAATGTATGAGGTACCTTCGTTTCGCTACAAATGGTGTTTTGGGGCGGCGATATCGCGTTGTTGGTGCTTGAAACTGTGCTGGCCAACGTCACATGTATCCGGTTCCTTACCTCGTACTGTCCGAGGTACACCTCCGCCGCTCTTGTTGGTGCCGCTGATGTTTTTGGGTGGCGTTGTTTCGTTGTTGTTACTCGAAACTCTTCTGACCAAGGTTACGTGCCTTCTTACACCCGCGGTGCAGAAATGAAGGGCTATAGGCCAGCACCCGAATGCTGATGAGGTTAGGCATGCCAAGGCGGGGCACCACCGCACTATTTTTTACTGTGTGGCACAGCCTCGTTTTTTCATCGT